CCCCCCAGCTGGATCCAGCTCCAGTGCTGCTCTGGCTGTAGCTCCTTGCCGAACCCCTTGAAGCCGTGGGGCAGAGTCCGGGGAAGGGACTCTTACCCCCACCCCAGTGCTGGCTCCGCTTCCTCAGGACCGTGCAAGCAGGGCAGAGTTGGTTCTCATTGCCCCATGTGAGTGCCCAAAAAAGGGTGGCGTGGGGACCCGCGGGCAACCCGATCTGAGCAGCTGTCCAGTGTTGCAAAGAGCCTTTCCTTCCTGCAGGCCCTGCCCATTCTGGAGGGAGGGGGTGCACTTCTCTGGTGCTGCCCTGGTTGCAAGGCCCCTCCGGCCCGTCTCTGTAATTCTCGCTTTCTGCTGCCCCTTCCTCCTCCCCCTGGCTCAAACCCCTTCTGGCATTCGTTCCACGCAAAATGGGTTTTTTCTCCCCCCCTCCCCCTTCCTTGCCTCTCCTCCCATGGCTCCTTCTCCAGGGAATCCCCCTCCTCCTCCTCCTCTTCCTCCTCCTCCTCCTGGGCGAGCTCCGGGACACAGGCTGGCCTCGGCAGCTGCTGGCCCTGAGACCAGAGACCTCAGCTTCCCCCTCCCTCCCCCCCTCCCCCCCAGGTGAATTTTCATGGCTCAGGCAACAGGAAGAGCTGCTGGGTGGAGCGGACGCGTCTGGAGAGGTTCCTCCTGGTCCTGGCGGGGGCTCTGGGGCTCAGCCTCCTGCTCTGCATCTTCGTCCTGCTGTTCCAGTACCGAACCCGTGAGTCGTCCCTGCCCCCCGCCGCCCCCTGGGCTCCCGCGCCCTGCCCGCCCTGCACCCCTGGCCCTGCCTGACCCGAGCCATTCCCCCTCCCCGTTCCAGGGCCCTGCCTGACCGAATCCTGCGTCTTGGTGACCAGCGCCATCCTGAGCTCCCTGGACCAGACCGTGGACCCCTGCGAGGACTTCTTCCACTACGCTTGTGGCGGCTGGATCAAGACCAACCCCCTGCCTGACGGCCACTCCCGCTGGGGCACCTTCAACAAGCTCTGGGAGCAGAACCAGGCCGTCATGAAGCACCTCCTGGGTGAGCGAGGGGCGGGGACGACCCCCCCACCCTGCGGAGGCCCGAACCCCCCCAGAGGGAGAGGGGCGTGTGTGCTCACAGCCCCTGGCGCGGTCCCCAGGCACCCCCACGGCCACTCCCCCACGGGCCCTCCTACACAAGCAGACAGCAGCTGCCTTCTGAAGGCTGAGAGGGGGGGGGGGGGGGGGAGGAAGGAGACCTTGCCCAGGGGTGTCTGGTGTGCTTCTGGTCGACCTCCCCTCGAGGCAGGTAAATCTTCCTGCTCTTCTGCTCTTTCCTTGGGTGCAGTCTGCAGAAGTTGACCTGGCTGCCTGGCATCCCTTGGATGCTCTGGTGGGATTCTCAGACCTCTTCCCGGTGCAGCTGGTGGCTCCTTTGCTCAGCCCCCTCCCTCCCCGGCAGGCCTGCTCTGGCTCCTCCTCCCGTCTGGGGAGCCCGGGCCACCCCCTCCCGCTGTTACTGCCCCTGGCCAAGGATGCTCTGGGCTCTTGGTGCCCGCAGGGTGGCCGGGTGAAAGCACAGGGCCGGGCTCCCCGGGAAGTCCTCGTGGTGTGGGGGGAGGGCAGGCAGGATTCAGCTGTGCTTCCCGGGGCTGGAACGGCCAAGCACTGCCACGCACCGAGCCGGACGTTTCCGGAAGGGCAGGCCATTTCTGAATCAGTGTTGCCTGATCCGCACACACCCCGAGAGTCTTTTGCGTGCACAGTGGAGGCTGCAGCCCCTCCTGGCGGTAAGAGCCGGCTTCACTCCGGAAGCCGCCTTCAGTCAGCTCGGCCCCTTGATCCGTCCGGCTGGCTGTTGTCACTCCGGCCCTGAGCGGAGAGGAGCCCCTTCCCCGCCTTGTGGGATGCTGGCCGCAGTCGCCTCTGGGTGGAGCTACTGAGCCTGCAGCTCACGGGGGGGGGCAGCTCTGCCTCCCCCCAGCAGTTCCCTTGGCTTTTCCCAGGCGGCCCCGGTGGGTGGCAGCTTCAGGGTCGGGCCTGAGGCGCAAATGGAGCTCTGCCCACCCTGCTGGCTCAGACCAGCGAGAGCCCATCCAGCCCAGCATCCTCCTGTCTCACACGCAGGGGCCGGCCAGTCTGCCCGGCGGTCCAGCCACTGGGCAGGGAGGCCGAAGCCTTCCCCCAATGTGACCTCGAAGCCAGACTGCCTCCGAATGTGGCGGTTGCCTCTGGCACAGGGGAGCCCACGGCCTACGGACGTGGGAGTTCCATTGAGCTGTCTGCCTGTCCCCCCGCGAGTTTGCCCCGGGGCGAGTGGCAGGCATCGCTGCACCCTGGGGGCACTGAGTCCCACCGGTGAACTGTCCGGAACATGGAGAAGTGCTCTTGGCTGCCCTCTTCCCCGGCCAGGCCCTGCCGCTTCACCCTGCTCCTCAGCCGACCTCCTTCCCCTCTTGGAATGTCAGGGGACAGACGTTCCCTCCGCGGCCCCCCCCCCCTCTTCAGGGGAGGACCACAGGATGCATGGGGGGGGGCGTAACCTGGCCGCCTGACTTGGCACTCCTCTGCAGAGAACACCACGGCCGGCACTCTGAGCGAGGCGGAACGCAAAGCCCAGCGCTACTACCAGTCCTGCATGAACGAGACCAAGATTGAGGAGCTGAAGGCGGAGCCCCTGGTGGACCTGATCCGGAAGGTATGGCGCTCGCCTAGAGGGAGGCAGGAGCTCCTCTCGTGCCGAGACGGCGGGCTGGCCCCGGGGGGGGGGAGGCCTCTGCTGTTTGCCCACGCAGCCCCTCGGGGGAGGGGGCCCCAGGCGGGAGGGGGGTGGGCTCGAATACGGGTCCCCAACGGGGAAAAGGGAGTCTGCCTCCGGAGGTGGTTGAACCT